GCGGCGGGCCAGGATGGATTTCCAGCAGCTGGCTGACGTTGCGGAGAAATGGTGCTCCAACACGCCCTTCGAGCTCATCGCCACCGAGGAGACCGAGCGCAGGATGGATTTCTACGCCGACCCCGGCGTCTCCTTCTACGTGCTGTGTCCGGACAACGGCTGCGGGGACAATTTTGTGAGTGCCTGGGGGAGGGAGCGCTGCAGCGCGCGGGAGTGTGGACGCGCGGCCGCCTCCCTGCGCCCGAGCTCCCGCACGCTGGGGAGGCTGTGGGGCGCGAGGTGGGGGGCGTAACCGGCTCGCCGCCGCGCACTCCGCTGCTCCGCCGGGAAGCCCCCGGGCCCGGTGCGGTGGTGTCAGCGCTCCGGGTGGGGCCGGGTGGGCGGCGGGCAGGGGCGCCCTTAGGATCTTGGGAGCCGGGCTGGGGCGGGCTCTTTCGAGGACGTGACCCCGCGGCTAGGGCGCGGTGCTCCGCTTGGAGCATCTCCGGAGTGTCTCCGCGTCGCACCATCACGGACCGGGGCGCACCGACCCTCCTGCAGGATCCGGAGTCCGGAGCTTCCAACACCCAGGCGTCCCGGTCCGGGTGAGGAATCCCGTTCCCTTTCCAATGCGCAGACACAACTCCTCGAGTTGTCCCCGCGCAGGAGAACCTCCCGTCCCCCGTGTTAGTCCCCGCGCTGCCTGTTTGGACACAAAGCCTCTGCCCACACTAAACGATGCCCCATCTCCTGGACCTTCTTTGCGGAATTACACCCCGGATCTTAAAAACGCACGCGCGCGTGCGCGCACACACGCGGGCACGCCTATCCCCCTTTTCCTCCTGTGCTTCCATTGCGCCTCTGTGAGCTTCCAGTGAGGTGTGTGGGGCCCGAGCGGGTTCTGTCCCGCTGAGGCGGTGGCCGGGGCCCTGCCAAGCCCTTAGGTTTTCGCAGATGAGGAATTCTCCCTCCCCACCCCGCCTCGGGCTAGGAGGGACCGGGACCTGGAACTGCGGTGTCCAAATCTTGGACTTTGCATCCTGCGCCCACCTGGGATCTTGGCGCTGGCAGTTTAGGAAGGGGATGCGGAGGGCAGGGGAGTTGAGGGGGGAGGTGCGGAGACTGGGCGAGGATGGCGCTCCATGAAGTGTTTGTAAGGACGGGGAAAAAATAATGGTCCCCAAATGTAAGATGGAGGCGGCCGTAGGCTCGGGTTACCGTGTGGTCGCCGGCTTGAGCCGGGAGCTGGCGCTGCTGCCGCCCGTGCGGACGGAGGTGGGGTGGCGCCGAGGCGCGGCCTGGCGCAGGCTCCTCAGGTGGGGGCTGGGCCGAGGTCCGGGACGCCGCTCGCCCCTGTCACCCATGGGAAGTTCACGAAGGAGTTAGAGACGGCAAGATCGCCTGTCTTGGTCCGGGAGAGGTGAAGGCGTGTGTATGACTTGCCAATAAAGCATGCCCCTCCGGCCACCTCCACCTCACCCCGCAGAGGAGAAGAACCCATCTGGGGCCCAGCTGTGGGATGCTCTAGAAGAGGGACGGCCTTGGGTGACAACCAGATTAGAGTTCTGGCTGTGTGACTCTGGTCACATGCTTTCCCCTGAGCTCAGGTTACACATCAAAAAAATGGGTATAATGCCAGCGCCCAGGTGATGGGATAGAAAAGGCACCTAACAGTCTCCACTCACAGCAAGCGCCCACAAATTTGAGTCAGAGATCTGGAGTTCCCCAGAGTTTAGCGCTTGTCTCTTTTTTTTGAAGAGCCTCCATTTTGTCACCTGTAAAACGAGGTTAATCAGAATGTCTCCATCACAGGTACTTGTGAAGAGCAACTAAGCTATAAATAGATGTAAGAACACTGTTAGCTGTAGTTAAAATAAGGAAATGTGTTGTTATTGAGAGGAGTGGGAGATCATTAAAAAGGGATTTGCTCCACTGTAAAAGTGTGAGAAAGCCCCAGAATATAGTGGAAAGGACACCAGGGTCCAGCTAACTGCGAGGGGGTTTGATTAGGAGTCCCTTCTAGCCCTGGGCTTCCTGAGCCTGTCAGTGGCCTTTCCCCTTGCTTACTATGTGACGTAGATAGATAGGAATCACTCCTGGTTCTGGGTTTTATGGGGGAGAGTTCCACACAGCCTTCCTGCTGGAGACATACCCAAAGAAATTACTCCAAGGAGAATAAGTGGGTGGAGAAAATGCAAAGCTATTCTCTGGCCTTGATTGTGTATATCAAACCATCATTCAGAAACATTCTGTACATCAGGCCTTTTTCAAGGCCACCTGTATGAGTAAAATGCTTGAAAGTAGTCATTCACCCACAATGAAAAGAAATAAATAAGGAAGAAAGAAGATGGTGGGAAAAGTAATTCCTTGGGTAAACTGGAACTTTCTCAAGGTTTCTGGAGGCCATAATGGACAAGATGCCAACCACTGGAGTTTTCTTAGCCCAGACCTCTCCTGGAATCTGTCCCAGGCCAGTTTTGTCAAGCTGCTGTTTGCCTCTACTAAAGGAACTCAGGCACAAAGTAAATGTCCTACCTCTGTTCTTTTCTTTTCCCCCGGAAAATCTGTTAGCATTATAAGAAATTTGAGATGAGTGGAATCCCTGTAATCTGAAGGATTTGTTAACAATAAGAATGTTTACATAGCGTTTCTCAATTTACATAGTGTATTCACATCATTTGTTCATTCAGCAAACATTTATTGAGGACTTACTTTGCACCACGCCAGGGCTACCTGGAATACTGATAGGGTCTCTGCCCTGGAGCTCCTGTGGCCATTCATCCCATCTAAGAGGCAGTGTGCATAGTGGTTAGTAGTGCACAGACTCTGGGGTCAAGCTACTTGGCTTTGGACCCCAGCCCCCTATGTCTTAACTGTATGCCTTGGAGGAAGTTATTTAATCCCTCTGTGCCATGATTTCCACATCTGTAAAATGGGGATGATAATATTAGTACCTTCATAGCAGGCTTGTTTGGAACAGTGCCTAAAATGGGAGTGATGGTATTAGTGACTCTCCAGCAGAGCCCCACACAGCTGTCACTCTGGATCTATTTAAAATATAATCCAGGTTTTGTCTCCACCACTCCCCACCTCACCTAAACTGACTTCCCAGTAACCCCTGTGTCCTCACCCTGGCTTCAAGCCCCCGCATGATCTGTCTCCTGCCACCTCTCTGACCTCGTCTTGGACCATTCTTCCACCTTGCTTACTATGTTCCTGCCACACTGGCCTTCAGACATGCCAAGCTCATTCCTGCCTCAGGGCCTTTGCACTTGCTGTTCCCACTGCCTAGAACAGTCTTCCCCCATATCTTTACATGGCTAGTTCCTTCATACTATTCAGGCCTGGGAGAAACCTTCCTGACCACACACTCCCTCACCTCACCCTCTTTCATTCTTATCATGGCATTCATTAGTACTTGCTAGTCTCTTTATTTTCTGCCTCCCTGACTAGACTATAAGCGTCATGAGAGCAGTGACCTTGTCTGACCTATTCATCACTGTATCCCAGCCCTTGGGACAGTGTCAGACACGTGATGGGTGCTCAGTCCATGTTTGTAAGAATGAATGAATGAATGCATGACAGTCTAGTGTAGAAGACAGATGTTAAATTTCAAGAATGACAGCTTCAAAGAATGATAACAACTAACACTTGTGTGCAGTTTACTATGTATCAACCCTGCTCTAAGCACTTGGCGTATATGAACTCATTTAATCTTTGTTTAGCTTTTTTTTTTTTTTAATTTTTTGTTTATTGCAGTAACATTGGTTTATAACATTGTAAAAATTTCAGGTGTACATCATTGTACTTCTATTTCTGCATGGACTACATCATGTTCACCACCAAAATACTAATTACAACCCATCACCACACACATGTGCCGAATTATCCCTTTTACCCTCCTCCCTCCCCCCTTCCCCTCTGGTAACCACCAATCCACTCTCTGTCCCTATGTGTTTGTTTATTGTTGTTATTATCTACTACTTAATGAAGGAAATCATACGGTATTTGACCTTCTCCCTCTGACTTATTTCACTTTGCATTATACCCTCAATGTCCATCCATGTTGTCACAAATGGCTGGATTTCATCATTTCTTATGGCTGAGTAGTATTCCATTGTGTATATATACCACAGCTTCTTTATCCATTCGTCCCTTGATGGGCACTTAGGTTACTTCCAAGTCTTGGCTATTGTGAATAACGCTGCAATGAACACAGGGGTGCATGTACCTTTGCAAATTGGTGTTTTCAAGTTCTTTGGATAAATACCCAGCAGTGGAATAGCTGAATCATATGGTAGTTCTATCCTTGATTTTTTGAGGAATCTCCATACTGTTTTCCATAGTGGCTGCACTAGTTTGCACTCCCACCAGCAGTGTATGAGAGTTCCCTTTTCTCCACATCCTCTCCAACACATATTGTTTCCTGTCTTGTTAATTATAGCCATTCTGATGGGCGTGAGGTGATATCTCACTGTAGTTTTGGTTTGCATTTCCCTGATAGTTAGTGATTTTGAACATCTTTTCATGTGTCTGTTGGCCATCTGTATATCTTCTTTGGAGAAATGTCTGTTCAGGTCTTTTGCCCATTTTTTAATTGGGTTGGTAGTTTTTTTGTTGTTGAGATGCATGAGTTCTTTATATATTTTGGAGATTAAGCCCTTATCAGATGTATGGTTTGCAAATATCTTCTCCCAATTGTTAGGTTGTCTTTTCGTTTTGTTGATGGTTTCCTTTGCTGTGCAGAAGCTTTTTAGTTTGATGTAGTCCCATTTGTTTATTTTTTCTATTGTTTCTCTTGCCCGGTCAGATGTGGTGTTTGAAAAGATGTTGCTAAGACTGATGTGGAAGAGCGAACTGCCTATGTTTTCTTCTAGAAGTTTCATAGTTTCAGGTCTTACATTCAAGTCTTTAATCCATTTGGAGTTAATTTTTGTGCATGGTGTAAGGTAAGGGTCTACTTTCATTTTTTTGCATGTGGCTATCCAGTTTTCCCAACACCATTTGTTGAAGAGACGAACTCATTTAATCTTAGTGATCTCACAAGGTACTCTCTATAATTACCTCCATAACTTTCCCACGGCTAATAAGTGTAGAGCAACTTGAACCATAGTCTGTCCTGAGAACATAGCATCACAGGAGTGACAACTGCAGACCCAGTTCAGACTGTGGGTTCAAGGGCAGCTTCTTACTGGG